CAGCGGCGGCGGCGGCGGCGGCGTGCCTGTAGGAGGTTGAAGTAAGGTGACCAGACGGCGGGGCGGGTGACAAAGACCGACAGAAGAATGTCCTGCCTAGCCTTGCACAGCGTGGCCGCCAGGTGGCCGCGCCTCACCGCCTCTCCTCCTCCGCCGCCGCCGCCGCCGCCGCCGCCTTCTGCCCACAGGCGCTGAGCATACGTCGGGGCCGCTCCCGTCTCCGGCCCTCCCTCCTCCTCCTTCTCTGCCGCCGCCTCGCTGCTGCTGCTGCTGGGGCTGCCGCCGCCGCCGGCGTGCGCCCCCGCCTCGGCAGCCGCGCTGGCGTCGCGCACAGCCCCGCCGCCGCCGCCATTTTGAGCTGCCTTGCGCCGCCTGACGGGCTGCGAGTAGCCGCACGTGTCGCCTTCCGCTGCCCCAGCCTCCTCTCCAGTCTCGCAGGCCTGCTTCATGTCCTCGGGGCAGGTGCGGAAGGGGTCTGCAGGCGGGCAGGCAGGCAGGCAGGCAGGCAGGCAGGTAAGCGACATGCCAGCCCCACCTTAATCCCAAGTCCTGGCACCAACCGCTGTACAATGAAAAGAAGAAGTACATATCAAAGGCAATCGGCCAGCCCCATCTTCAGCCACAGCCAACACGTGCGCCAGGCCCTGACACACCAGCAGCAGCAGCGCCATGCCACCAACAAACAGCAATACAATGGCGGGAAAAGCCGCCGAATGGGCGCGCCGCACCTGCCACCTTGCGCGCGCCGGCCGCCTTGCCGAGCTCCTTCTTAAGGTCGTTGAGGGCAAACCGCCAGAACGAGTGCTGGGTGGTCACAAAGGGCGCGCCCAGGTTGTAGCTGGCATTCATAAGGGCGGTACCGCTGCAGGGGCAGGCGAGGCCCGGCGGCGAGCGTGTGTCATGGGCGTGCGCATGTGTGGCAGTGGCGGCGGGTGGCAGGCGGCGGCGGGCAGTCCCCACCCGGGGCCCGCCTCTCCTCCTGCCGGGTGCTGCCCCCAGCCTTCCGGCCTCTGCCAGCCCTACAGACCCACACAGATGAACACACACACGCACGCCAACACATGCACACCAGCACACGCACACGCACGTGCCGCCACCGCCACCACTGCCACCACCAAGCCGCTGGCCAGCCCCCCGGGCACCCCGGTACCGCTGGAAACGCACTTGAGCATGGCGGGGTCGCGCAGCAGGCGGTCGACTTCGTCGGCGGCTGGCAGCTGTACCGCCGCATTGAAGTGGGGGAGGTAGAAGACGTACAGCACCCATGCCCCTGAAATATGTGTTTGTGTAGGCCATGGGTGCGGTTAGCTTGTATAATCAATCAGATCAGGGGCAGCGCGGTGGCCGCCGGTGAGGGCAGGTAGGGAGCGTGGCCAGGCAGCGAGCGGCGACAGGGCGGCGCTTGGCGGCAGCAGCACAGCCGCTGCCTGGTGGCTCCCTCCTCCCCACTGCGCAGCAGCCCGCCTCTTCTCTCTCACCGCTGAAGTAGCCCAGCAGCTCCGCGCCCAGCAGCGCGAAGAAGTCGCCGGTACCGCCCACCCTGCCCCGTACCGCTTCGGCCAGCAGGATGCCCGGGTTGAAGTACGCGCTGACCTGTGAACAGTACCACACATGCATTGCACTTTACACGCGGGCAAAAACATGGGCCAGGCCGGCCTGCCTGAGACAGGCGGAGCTCAGCTAGCTGCCTCTGCTACCAGCGGTGCTGGCATGCGCGCCACGAGGGCGCTACCGTGTGCCTTGCCCCTGCCTTCCCTCCTCACCCGGAAGAACATGGCGATGGGGAGGCCGACCCCCAGCCCCACGCCGAGCGCTATGGCCAGCAAACCCATGCCTGCACAAGACGGGCGCGCGGCACGGCGGGGCGCAGGAAGCAGCTCGGTCACCGCCAGCCCGTCGGTGCCAGCTTGCGGGCTGCACCTGCCAAGCCCCAAGCTTTAGGAACAGGCGCACGGATCCCCTTGGACAGCTGGGCAGGCCATGAGGTGCTGTGTGCGGTAGGCAACGCACCCTCGCCCTTGGTGCGCGGTAGCAGGGCGTTGGCGACGCCGCCCACCGCCAGGCAATACGTCATCAGCGAGCCCAGCACCTCGGCGCCCGCCCGCGCCGGCAGCGAGTGGCCCATCCCAGGTCCAGCTGAGCTACAGCAGTGCTGCGTGGAGGGCGATCGAGCATAAGGCTCCTTCCCCAAAGTGGGCCCACGGCCGCCCACAGGAAGGCCGAAGCAGCAAAGGGAGGAAATTGGAGCCTGGGCTGCACCGGGCCGGGATCACCTGATGTGCGGATGCCATGACAGCGATGCTCAGCGCGGCACAGCGCCGGCGCCCGCCAACTGGGTGGCCCAATGCAGCCACTAAGGCTGGAGCCGAATTTACAGAACCCACAAGTACTCTGAATTTCTGAGAAGCAGAACGAATTTCTGAGAAGCAGGACGGGCCCCAGGTGGCCCCAAAGAATGGATGAGAGGCTCGTTTTGAGCAGCACTGACGGACGGGCTGGCAGATACGTGAGGCTGCAGCAGGCAGCCTGCTGCCGATGATGGTACACACAAGCTGCACACACAGCCGCCGCGGCAGCCCCGCTCACGACTGGGAGTCCAGGTGCTCCAGCACCCTGTCTGCCAGGCGGTGCGTGTCTGCCTGCAGCGCCGCTGCCGCCGCCATAGCCAGGGCGTCTGCGGGGCCGAAGCGGCCACCGGGCGGAATGCGCGGGCCCAGCTGGTCGCCGCACGGCGTGACGTGGGTGCCGGGCAGCACTAGGCGGCGCACGGCCCGACGGCCGCTCGCCAGGAACGCCTCCGCTTCGGGGCTCTCATCAGTTGAGTCGTCCGAAAACTGGATGAGCAGCGTGCTGGGCACGCTGTAGCGGCTGGCGATGAGCTGGCGCGCCTCGATGGGGCTGGGCCTGAAGTCCTGGAAGCCATCCCCCACCTGCAGCGGCCAGAGGGAGAGCAGGTAGAGGGGGAGCAGGCTGGGTCCAGCGCGGGCACGGCGAGGCAGGGCTGGCGGGGCAGAGGAGGGCGGCACCGTGCCTGCCAGCCTGCTGGCTCGTGGCAGGCAGAGGCAAGATCTGCACACACGGCGTCCATCCAAGGCGGCAACGCACCTCATCAAAAACTGATCCCAGCTGGATGAGTGCAGGGTCCCACTGCTGCAGGCTGCCCAGGAGCTGCCGCTGCCGCTGCAGCTGCTGCTGCCACGGGCTCGCCCCGCCCGCCGCGCTTTCGGCGAGCGCCAGCAGCTGCCCCACGGCGCCCGCCGCCTGCGCCAGCCCCTGCCGCGCCGTGGCCGCCAGCCGCCCCCTCCCCCTCAGCTGCTGCACCGCGGGCTGCAGCACACCCAGCGGCACGGGCACCGCCTCCGCCACTTGCAGGTTGTTGTAGCTGATCAGAATGTTGCTGGCGCGCCCGGGCCGGCCCTGGTCGCCCCCGGTGCTGCCGTCGGCGGCGCTACCGTTGATAGATGCACTGCCGTTGGCGCCAGCCGCTGCGGGGGCGGCAGGCAGGCACACGGAGCCCACCAGCAGGTGCAGCAGGGCGCCGTTGCTGTGGCCCACGCCGTGCACGGGCGCGTCGCGGGGCGCGGCCCACGATGCCAGCGCGCCGCCACCGCCGCCGCCACTGCCGCCGCCACCGCGCAGCTGCGCCAGCGCGCCCTCGAACGCGGCGTGCACAGCGTGGGCGCATTCCACGTGCTGGAAGGTGACGGGGTAGGGAGTGGCGATGCAGGTGTAACCGCCGTCCGCTAGCCGCTCCAGCAGGAGGGGGTAGGTGAGGTGTGGCACCGCCGCCACAAACGCGCCGCCGAGGAAGTGGACGACGCCCTTCGGCCGCCGCCGCGTGGGCGCCACCGCGACCACGCCGCCGCCCAGCTGCACGGCGTGGGCAGGCGGCGGGGGCGATGTGGTTGGATGGGTGGCGTGCGCGGCTGGGTGCCTGGCGGGAGGGGCGAGCTGCTGCACGTGGGAAACGTGTTGTCCCCACCCCTGCCCCATACGCCTGAACAGTCAAAGCAACCAGTACAGCCAACAGCAGGCCGCGCAGCACGTGCTTCGAATGTGCGCGTGCCCGCCTGCACAGCCAGGCGCTGGCGGGCTGCGGCGCGCCGCTGCTCTGCCGCTGGGCGCCGGCGGGCGTGGGCAGCGCCAGGTGTGAGCGCCAGGCGCGATGCCATCGGCCGCTGGTTTAAGGTTCCAGGCACTCTGCTGCGATTGGCTAAGGGAGCTACGCGAAAGGGCGAGGCGGAGCGAGGAGAGCACAAGCCTCCCACCACATTCAGCTCCGCTGTGTCCAGTTTCTGCCAGGATTATGGATCTCAGAAGCCAACTAGAGCGATAGAAATGCTCCAAGCCGTGGCTTTGAGGCGGCGCAGTCGGCGCCATGTGGCCGCCCCGCTGGCTGGCCGGCGCACGTCTCCGCTTGTTTTAATCAGCAGAGACAATACGGCCGGATCTATAGTAGCAGAAATCCGTGTAAGCCCCACTCACCCGGCAATGATGCAGATTGTAAACAGAAAAAAGCTGCAGATTGTAAACAGAAACGCCCCACACCTCAGCACCATGGGACAGCACCGAGTCCACCATGGTGCCGAAAAGCCGCAGCTGGACGGGCGCCGCCTCGATGCCCACCTCTGCGCAGCGGGTCCGGCAGTTGTGCATAGCCAGGCGCGCCAGCTGCGCCCGGGCTGGCGCTGCTGCCCCTGCCAGGCAGGTGCTGGAGTGAAAGGCGATGCCGAGATACTTGAAGCTGGTGACTGCCGCCAGCTGCTGGCCGGCGAAGGTGAGGCCTGCTGCCTCTGCTGTCTGCTGCGCCGCGTGCTGGGTCCGCCGCCCACTGAGCAGCATGAGCTTGGTCTTGTCGATGTTGACAGTGAGGCCCCACTGCCGGCAGTACTGCTGGAGCAGGTTTAGCTGCCGCTGCAGCCCGGCCGCTGAGGTGGCCAGCAGGACCATGTCGTCGGCGTACAGCAGCGGCGGCACCGCGGCGCCGCCGCTGCCGAGGAAGCTGGGGAGGTCGAGCTGCTCGCCACGCCGCGCCGCCGCCATCAGCTCCTCCTCCAGGTCGTACAGGCTACAGGAGGTGCTACAGGAGGCTACAGGAGGTGCTAGCCCTGTCACTATCTGTAAGCGCTTCTGCTTGCCATGATACAACGCACTCTGTCGTGAGCTAGGCGATGGCTTCAAGCGCAGAATCGCCCCGCCGGCGGCACCCGCAGCGCACAGCGGCTGCCGCAGGAGCCTCGGTTCCTGGGTACCGCACTAAGCAACCCCGCGCTTGCAACACTGCGCACAGCAGTTCATCCTGTCCTGCAGTCTTGGAAGCATGAAAAAACGAGTACCGTAGGGTGCGTTCTCGCTCGCCGTATTGCCAGGCGGCTGTACAGCGCCTTGTGCTGCCCGCGCGGCCACGAGGCGGCGGCGGATCGATCCGGGCTGGCCTGCACCTCTGTTCCCCCTCGTTTGTACGCACGGGAGCCAGGGGCTTGAAACCCCGTTTCCTCCCAGTACGGCCGAAGTACAAAGCACGCGTCCCGCGTATTCTCTTCTTCTTCTTCTTCTTCTTCTTCTTCTTCTTCTTCTTCTTCTTCTTCTTCTTCTTTTGATTGCTGCAGGAAGGGCAGCAAGGCCCCGCCAGAACCACAGTTTGATGCGACTGTGAGCTAACGTCGACTGGACCCGAGGCCATTCCCGTCCCCCCGCAGCTAAATCCTGCAGCTTCAGCGACACCGCCCCTGCCAACATCGTCCCAGGGTCTCCTGGCGGGTAATGGCGGTGGCGGCAAGCACGGTTGCATGGCGTGGGGGAAATTGTGGCGGGGCCGCTACCGCTGGGCCCTCGCCTCCGTGAGCCCGTAGCCACTGTGGGGAAACCGCCGGCGCTTTGCGGCCAGCATATGCTCCTCCAGCCCCCAACCAACCCTCCACTCTGTCCGTCTCTGTCAGTTCTCTGCGCCTCCAACAGCTCTCCTGCCCCCGCCCAATCCGGCCCGCAACGTGCAGCTAGGGTACCATCTGACCGCTCGAGCTTAAGCTTACTCATGCCGGATGGGCGATGGTCTAGCTAGCTTATAGCCCATAGGGCGCGCTCCCTGCCCATATGCAAACGCCTGACGAGGGGGCACCACGAGCGACAGCGGCTGGATGATGATTCATTCATTAATTCATTCATTCAGCACACAGACCGGCCGCCTCTTGCTCGAGGGCGGCCCACTTTGGCCTGGGCAGCCCGGGCCGCCCTCCCCCCCGGGCGCATGTTCGGTGTTGGAGGGGTGTGCCCAGCGATAGGGGGCCCCTGAAGGCATGCGCCGAGGCCGGGAAGCGTGGTTCGGCGCTGCTGCACGCTTGGCGATTTGACCAGAACCACGTGCCGCCGAGCTGCGGCCGCAGTTTCCGGCCCACGGTCTACGGTCACAGCCACGGGACTCGGCGGCACGGCGTTTGGGCCCAAGCTTGCTGCCGCCGCCGCCGCCGTGCCCGGGGGGCAGCGCGGCGGCGGCGGCACGCTGCGACGCCCCCGTGCTGCCGAGCTGCGGCTTGCTTGTGTGGGCTTAAAGTCTGGTAAAGCAAGAACTAGCTTGCAACATAGACTCCCCGCCGAAACGGGACGGGAACCGGGCGAAAGCAGAGAAAGCAATAAAACAGGGGTGGAGCAAGGCGACATGCAACGCAAGCAGCTGACAGGGCACGCATCGAAACGTGTGTATGACTGGCAAAGTGGCATGGCGCATTGGGGAGAAACGCAAC